CGCCGACCTGTAATGCCAAACACGGCGGCAACCTGCGGAACGCAACCGCGAAGGGAGCGTGAGTGGCACCATACTCCGGATCAGACAATGGTCCGAAGAGCCGAGAGGGGCATCGACGGAAACCTGATATCCGTCCGGATGAGAGGTCAGCAGAAGGTCCAACAGGGAAGGTGTATGATTCTCCACATCTGGAATCCGCGTAGGCGAAGTAACCAGTTGTGTCAGACCATATGCCAAAGCAAGGTCATAAACAGATCTCCCCGCATGATCGGTTAAACGTGAACCGAGCCATTCGGCATGGTGGGCATTAAAATCGCCAAGGATCACGATCTCTGCGGATGGGACCTGTTGTAGCAAGGAATCTGTAGCCATTTGGACGTGGTCGATGAGTCGGTCTGTTTCGGCATTACCGCTATGGGACCTATAGAGGCACCCGTAGACGCGCGGATGGTCGTCGCTGTCTACGCGTAGCCAAAGGATGGACAGGTCCGAACCTTCAAGACTGCCGAGGCGTCGAGAACAGATGTCCTCTCTGACATACACGCAAACTCCATCCCGAGGCACAAAGGAGTGCTCCAATTTGTACCCCGGGCAGGAGAGATACGAAATATCAGCCGGAGAGGAAACCTGCGTCTCGGTCAGAAAGAGCAAGGCCGGCTTCGCCGTCTCGAGATGGTAGTGGACGGCGTTTAGGTTAGAGTGAAGTCCCCTGATGTTGCAGAAATTCACGGATAGCGTGGCAGGGGTCGCCTTGGTATTGTTGCTCAGTTTGCCCCAAGCAGTTTTGTTTTTGAGCGGAATTTTGCCCCCCCCAGAATACGCGGGGCAGCCTGAGCACCCACGCTCAGGATTGGAATAACATGGTCGTGGATGCTCAGCGAGGGATTCTCCAGGGGTACTGGTACCCTCCTGGGGTAGTCTACTTTGTAATTCCGCTACCATGTTGATGGGGGGGGGGGGGGGGGAATTGGGCCTCCGGCCACCTGCACTCACCAGACGAAACGCAGAAGCAGAGCCTCTACTTCACGCCGGTATTCTGTGAGGTTTTTAATTGTCTCGAACCCCAAGCTCGTAACAATATAAATAGTTTTGCTCGTTTTGTGATACTGTACGGCAATTTGGAGTGTATTATCGGGCGACAAAACGAAGACTGGCGTTCAATTGGAGCTCTTTTTGCATTTTGGAATTCTTTTGGCTCGGACACTTTTGAGCGTATAGCCGAGGTCCATTTAGTAGTAGGTCAATGTTTATGATATTATTTTAAATGATAAAAAATGATACATTCACAATAAAAATACTAACATATGGAATACAACTCCATCTTTTTGTAAACTTTAAGTATTTGACTGCTTTATGCACACGTTAAGTGCGGTTAACTGGCATTTTTCAAAAAACACCTACTTCGGCGGAAATGATTCTTATAAGGATAAAAATCTAGTGCATTTATAAAAACGATTCCGTAAGCAGGTTTAATCAACGCACAAGATTTTTAAATCCAATACTTTGGCAGAGGGCAATAATCATGCGAGGCGAGTCCACTGTGTTAAATGGTCTAAAGGCGTCAACTCACTTGCCTGCCGCAGGGGCAATCTAGGGTGTAGAAGTGGGGATTACCCTTAATTTCCTCCTTAATTGTGATGTGTGTATGAAAGCAGGGGTAATTTCCTAAGTCGGCCCTGTGGCTGGGCGGCAGGGGCGCAAGAACTTCCTTGCTCCCTAGATCATAGCCACCGCTGCTACGTGTGTAGCGCAATTGGAACAATTTCCATCAGTTCGTTAGTGACTTTCGCGCGCAGCACACTTCACAATAGATATCAATAAAAAATGTGAAATTTGGACACTGGTGATAGAAGTGTATAAACAGCGGCTTCTTCACCCATTATCTCCTTTTTGTTTTTTTTTTACGGCAGCACCGCAGAAGGAACGTTATTTGAACGTTGTAACGTTTTTAAATGTGGTAGAGTCATGCTGCAGCTTTTAAGGACTGTGTTATGGTTGTAATTATTAATTAATTTGTTGTTTTATCATAAATATGGGTGTCTATGGGCCACAGTATCTCTTTAACATCAGGTGGACTGTGCTCATTTGTCACCCTTATTCTTTATATAAAAAGAACCAAGGCTATATTTACCGATTCATTCATACCAAAGCATGTGTCCACCGAGATGTACACTTTCATACTGAACGGCAGGCATGTGTATAGAGAGACAATTCTGATATTGTCCCGATCGCTGTTCATCCTAGATTGCCCTGCGGCATGCAAGTGAGTAGCCGCCTTAAAACCGAGACAGACCAGACGATTTTTTTTTGATTCTCTTTAGCACAGTGTTGCCAACCAGCGAATTTCTTGATTCCGCTAAGGACTGACAGCTGCCAAGTAACGCCACCAACAGGTTTAATATTATAACTTCTAAATCAGAGCGCTGTTTTTCTGATTTAGAAGTTATATTATTAATAGTGATATAAGTATACCCTTTTTACCATAGGATGGTTATCATTGATTCGATGTTTTATGAAAATACATCGATACATCGAGTATATCAATAACTTTCCAAAACATCGGATCGGTTCGATGCATCGTATTGTAAACATCGAGTGAATTCGATGCATCGATGTATATCGAATATCCCTAGCGGCAACAAATACTACACCGAAATCGGCGTACCCGAGCCAGTCGCGTTGCAGACAACGTGTAAGGTGAACGTACTGAATGTTTTATTAAATTTTGATCATAATCCGAAGTAAAATACCAGTTTACGTATTGAAACTGTATAAAAATAATACTACAAGAAATAAGAAAGACACTGGAATCACATACTATCGTTAAGTATCATACAATTTAGAAATTTTAACATAAAATAACACGAGCCATAAATAAGTCACAAAGTATCAATTTTTTTTTGGAGTTTATGGCCTGGTATCTAGACCTTTAGGCCAAGTCTTAAGTATTTTTATTCGGTTTATTGTAATTTCCCCACTCCTTCATAGTATACTGCTTCACAATATGTTGATGCGTCACATTGTGCAGTTCTTGGGAGATTTTGGCGGCAACTTGATCCAGCAGACAGCTGATAGTTGGCGATGGTATCTAAAGGTGCCTATGCAAACAAACAGCTTATCTTGAGAATCCATCACCATCAGAGCACTTGTTTCACTGTTTCCACTAATAGTTCACATGCGTAGACACTTAATACACAAAATCGCAACACTTTTACATATCAAAGTCTACTTCAAACCATTATTTAAACAATAATACAGGAGCAGCAAACCGCCGCCGGTCAATTTCCCGCCAAAACTCCCCCAAAGTATCAATGACGCTATTCAGTGTTGCCGCAAATGCAAAAATAAAGTTCCCCGTGGCTGAGATTTTTATATGTGAATTTATTGTTACTATATTTTATAATATCTCAATAAAAATATCTAAGAGTCAGTTATTTCGTACAATCTTCCTCAAAATGTATGGAAGACCTGATTTTTCTTGCGATTTGGAAGATAGATATATAGTAAAAGTTGTTCATATTGACGCGTAGAATAGAAAGCACTATTTTGATTACACCATATATATCATTATTTTTTTAATAATTTGTGAATATTAGACATGTAAATAAAAAAATTAACCTTATAAAAAGGAGGCCTTATCATTCATATGTCATTTATTCAGAAGAAAAACCTATACATAATATACACAAATATATTGATACATTCGTTATTAATAAACTATTCATTTTTAAGTATTTCTGGAATACATTCATAACTATGAACTTAACTACTAAGCCATAGCATAAAATAAATTTTCCCGTTAATCGAATAATAGTTAAGCTGCTGGCATATACAATTTTTCACGCACACTAGCATCTTGCAAATTGTCTTATACACACTACAATATTAAGATACCGCATTCACGGACCTGTTCTAGTCAGAGCGCGTGATGACTTATCATTAATCTATGAGAATCAGGCGTTACTTTGCGGAAATCCAATTCTTTACGCGGAATTAAGCAAATTAGTTTATAACAGCCCTAACTAAAATATTACCTAAACCGTTACATTAAAAACTCCATTTCCAATTTTTCACTTGGGATTAAAACATTTTTTAACAGCCAGTCTTGAGTTAGTTTTTTTTTTTTATAGAAATGGGGTGACAAACGAGCACAGAGTCCACCTGATGGTAAGTGGTTGCTATGGCCCATAGACATCTACATCTATCTTCGTTTGCGAGTCAAAATACAGATGCGTTGTCAGCCTTGATGAGTAAGATGGAACGCCTCTTTTCCAGTAAAAAGGGTCCTCGGTTCTCTACACTCACCATACGAAATACAGCAGCATTAAGCTGCTATTTTACGCTGGTATTCTGTGAGAGCGTGGTCCTTCCCCGGTTGAGACGACCCATTCGTGCTACAACTATATTACAAATATAGCTGCAGCTTGTCTCTACCACGTACAAACATGAATCTAAAGAAATATAAGAATCATTAAAGTCGATTCACAGGTTCACAGTTGCTGAAGATATCGCGTCACAAAGGTACATACAAAAACATTCAGTCTAGCAAAAAAACTTGCCCAAGTGTTAATTTGGACACACTGACACACCTACGATAGGACCCGCTGTACAGTTTATTTATTATCTATATTATTTAAAATATATTTAAAATTAATATTAATAATAATAAATTTAAAATATACTATAGTTAAAATTATCAATATAATATTGACGAATTCAAAATTAAAATTTAAAATTTACGGCTATTTGGACGATTACTAATGTGGTTAATGCTACCTCATAATTATTTAAAAACACCTATCTAATGATGTATCGATATTAAAAGTCGAAAAATGTAAGAGTGCATCCCCAAAAAATATAAATTTAATATTTTCTTATCTTAAAATTGTGACATATTTAATATGTATATCCAAAGTGTATACTAGTTATTTTAACGTGAAGTAAAGTTGTAGATGAAAAATAAATAACTGGCATTAACATTTAATTATTTGTCTCAGCAGAACACAGCATTTGACTTGGAGCTGGAATTGAGCGACTACGAGATATACTGTAATGGAGGTTGCAAGCCGCGATTAGGCGCATCTCCACCAGCGCATCGCTCACACTGCAACGACAATGACACAGTTTACGACCAGGGAGCGTATGGACTGCGGCATCTTTTTTCTAGTCCTTCACAAGAAAACGCTGGTGCCTGTGAATCTCCCCCACAGCCAACCAGCCCCACAGAAACATCAAGGGAATCTACACTACATAGACCAAGCGGGGAGAGGTCAGACAGAAGGAGCAGGCGATTAGAAAACGTCAGAAGAACTCTTAAAGCGAGGAAATCTAGTCTATATATGCCATTGTCAATTGCTCACTCAGGAAGACAGTCGAGGATATCTCCAGGGTCAAGAGTATCTTCGCGATCTGCTCCAGCCACGCCTTGTGGTGCACTTGTCCCCAACATTCTTATTTTCACGCAAAGAGTCTCCGCGTCAAGGCATAGTTCGCGATCTTCTCGCCTCGAAGAAGAAAACGACCCACTACTTGCGGACGTTGAGAACCCACGAACTGACCATAAATTTTAAATGTATCAAAGCTGCTTTAATTTAAATCACAAACCCAGCCAACAGTGTGATCTCAAAAACAAATAGGTATTATTGTAATTGGAAGTGTAAGGGCCTAGTACTGAACCCCAATAACGAACCTTAAAATCCGTATTGTCTGTCTGTATCGTTGATCTAAAAAGTATACAGGGTGGCGATAAAGTTATCACATTAAATGAAAAGACTTATCCTACATAACGTTCTTTGAATATACACCACTAAAAATATATAACAATTAATAATCTAGTCGTCTTTTGCCTAATTAGCAAAGATGTATTTTATGAGAATATAAAATGGAATAAAATAAAGACGATAATGATGGTACTAATATAACTTCATTATACGTATTTTAATGGTACGAAAATGCAGATGTAAATAAATTTAAGAATATTATTAAACACAATTAATTTGCTCGAATACAATAAGCACATCGTGTAATGTTTAATTTTAACCGACTTCAAAAAAGGAGGAGGTCATCAATTCGTTTTTTTAAAATGTTTCTTACCTCAGAATTCTACAATGTCTAAACCGATTTAGATTTATTTATTTGAAAGAATATACACACCGATTGATCTAATATACACGCTGAAATTTAAATGTTTGTTTTCCCGAAGTCAAATGATTTTGTCTTGGTAGTACAATAGATTTATTAAAATAAAAATTGTTAGGATGCAAAAATGACAGATTTACAATCGAGAAAAACAAAATTCGAATGCGATCTCAAATCAATAGCAATATCTCGCAAGTAGATCGGGCGTGCAGGCTAGCTTATACCGTATTACTATAATAAAGTCTGAATAAAAAAATATTCGCTGGACGTAACGTAGTGTTACGTCTATCGCACGCGCTACCGCGCGCTGCCTACACAGTGAAGGCCAGTAATAAATGTTCAGGGCATGAACTCTCAAGCGTGGTGATACAACAAAACTAATCTGCTTGTGAGGCTTGTAAGCTTGTGAGGTATTACTATTGTAAATCTGCCCTTTTTTAATTGTAATATTTTTAATTTTAATAAATTGACTCGACTAACGAACAGTATAATTTGGCTGCGGGACAACAACCACTAAAATTTCAGCATGTATGTATGAATTGATCTAGAATCGTCTTAGAAATCAGTGTAAATATATATTGATAACCTCTCCTTCTTGGGAGTCGGTTTAACATCTGGTTAGTAAAGGCGTTCTTATTAATAATCCCTTGATGTTGTAAATAAAAAAGTTTTTATTCTATACTCTAAAACGTCGACTTAGTCAATAAACAAAGCAATTAAAATAAAATAGTTGTGTTAAAATAGCGTCGACGAATCGCAATTAGCTGATCACTCCGTATTAGTTTTAAGTAGGCACCCCTTGTTAATATATAAACATTTGAGTTTTACACAGACCATTGCGTTTTAAACACAAATACAAAATCAATATCTTTAAAAGAAAATTGTGATTTTTTCCCGACAACTAGCAACATTTGTATCATGATAGCTTAGGTAATATTTTTTTTAGTTTTACGTACTTATAATGAATTAAATATATGAACTTATATGTGAAATGTAATATGATCACTTCTTTTATATTTATAATCATTGTTGTGACAATATTTTACAACACAAACGGTCGTTTTTACAATTTTTCGCGACCTCTTCTCCGTAAGACGTGACGTTGCGCACTAACGCGTTGCCGAGTGAACTTACTCGGTTTCGCGTTAGTTTTACTTGCTTCACTTTTGGTGTGCGTACTAGTATTCTATACGTAATAATTCTATGGGTGATTTATTTCGTGTCAATTTTTACGCTAATTATTTTATCTGAAAGATGATTTTTTTTATTTTTGGTAGAATTGTTTATTTTATTATTTTAATCGACATACATGAACTTGTAGATACCGCTGTGTTATTTAATGTGATAACATAATCGCCACCCAGTATAAATCAATGACTTCTGTATTATTGTTTTGAATGAATTTTCCGTGCTCGTTAATAAGCGGTTGCCGCTACGTAGTTAGTTAGTTAGTTAAATGTTAATCAAATATTGCGTCTAGATGTAAGAAGTGAGCTTGTTGGACCATTGTTCACTTGCGTTCTTATAACAATATATAAAAAAATATATGTGTAATTTTGTTGTTTTATTTAAAAATAATCGACAATATTTATTGATCCTTTATTGCAAAACACCAACTAGGGGTTACAAAGGGCGGACTTAATGCCCTATGGCATTCTCTACCAGTCAATCCGACGAAAAATTGAATAAATAAAAATGTTGGCAGGTGCAAGTTAAGGACAATAATAAAACATAAGTTATAAATAGAAACAGTTAAGCTATAAAAAATAGATTACACAATAAACAACTACCTAATTGCAGTATATAAATACAGTATACATAAATACAGTACACACACATACATATACACATATATATATATATATATATATATATATATATATACACACACACACACACACATATATATATATATATATATATATATATCGTCGGCTTATTGCAAGAACTCATTAACTACAAAAAATCACAAGTGCAGTTTATAATACTACTGAACTCTTCTCGATAAGTTCCGTATTATGCAAAAACTCATTTGATTCTACCATTTCAAATTTGGACGTTATGACCTAGCTTTAAAGTTACAAGAATAGTTTTTAAGAAATAATAGAAAAACAAAATAGTGCATTTTATTGTAATACAAAGGTCACTTATGTGACTTAATAACTTTTTAAGACACACGATACGCACATCACTTACGAACAGCATTTGGTTAAAGTTCATTAAATGCACATAGTTCAACGAGTGACAGTCACTATTTACAGTTTTAGTCTATTTTGTTATTGCAGATCTTATTCAATGACATAGAGACAATTTCTCTGAACCGCATAATCACAACTATTGAACAATCTTTAACAACTCTTCAAGATCATAACTAACCCTTATGTCTAGAAGATGATTTGTAAAACATATCAGTAAGTTAAAGTTAAAAAGTCACAGCCTATATACAGCGAACTTCATATGTCTTCGAATTTTTTATTATTTTTTAAACATGCAGGTTTCCTCCCGATGTTTTCTTTCACCACCGAGCACGTGGCATATCAGCACTTAAAATTGCAAGTAACAATTTCACTGTCACCGCTGGGGATCGAACCTGGGTTGCTCACGTACTATGAAATTTACAGCGAGCACTAATTATCTGAGCTATCACGGCTCTATTAGTAATTATATACATATACGTCCCGTTGCTGGGTACAGGCCTCCCCTCATTTCTGAGAGGGTTTTAGGGCAACGAAATGTTCGCTGCCCCAATGCGTGTTAGCGAACTTCACGTGTTCGAATTTTTTTCTTATTTCTCAAACATGCAGGTTTCCTTTCGATGTTTTCTTTCGCCACCGAGCACGTGGCATATCAGCACTTAAAATTGCAAGTAACAATTTCATTGGCACCGCCGGGGATCGAACCTGGGTTGCTCGCGTACTGTGAAATTTACAGCGAGCACTAATTATCTGAGCTACCACGGCTCTATCACACACAACTATAGCTCAAATATAGCTGCGCCAAAGCACAAGGCTCACCCGACCTTGTTGCATGGCAACTTAAGTATGAATAACACATTAACAGTCTTATTCCAAAAAAATGTTTTAGTACTGGGTTAAGTTTAGGAGTAAGAAGTCCAGGTTTGTTACAATATTCTAGTTAATACCAGCACTAAAACGTGTGCTTATTACAAAACGCAGACTACCCGAGGACCAGTTAATACCAACGTTAGTATTATATTAAATATCATTCACAGATAAAAAACAAAAAATGACACTCTATCATTCGTTCATACAGGTTTCATTCAATGCAACGTTCGGTTTCATAAAATATTAATATTATTTTCACATTTAATTATGCTTAAATAATTATCCATCAATACAAAAACATATCATACATTGTTATTTGTTTACGTTAAAATCTATTGAACAAGCACGACATATACTTTTGACGCGCTTTTGATTATATCAAGTTGTTTTCAGTTTAACAACTCTAGCGTGAAATGTAGTGAATTACAGAGGTAACGCGAGCGCGGGATTCGAGACGTTCAAAATAGTTTATATTGCAGCCTTATAATAAGTAAATTAAATTATTAATAATTAATTAAGTACTTGCTATTACAATTATATTTATATAATAATGGAACAAAAGAAAAAACGGGGTGAAAATTGGAGTTCTGAAGAAAAAGTTAGTGAAATATCGAAATTTATTTGTCAGCACACAATACAGTCAGTAAATATTCAAAAAATAAAAGAGTGGAAGAATATAACTAATAAGTAAGTACTTATCGCATTTGTTATGTGTACAAATAGGTACGGTATTGTTTACGTGATTTCGTATTTTTTTTTTAGATTTAATGAGATAACAGGTAAACGCCGATCAGATGGTGAATTGAAATTATCTTGGAAAAGAATGAAGTTGTGTGCTAAATCAAACTTATACACATATAGGAGGGAACAATCAAAGACCGGGGGTGGCGGAAAACCTCCATCACCTTCTCTTGAGGACTTGGAAATAATGTCCATTGCCCCTCACGACTTTATCGTTGAAGTTAATAATTATGATAGTGATGCAGTGGTAAATAAAATTACTTACATGTCTTACAAATTTAATTAAAATTAAAGAACTTTATTTTCCATTACTTTAGTACCTAGGTAGTGCTCTGAAATCTACTCTTAAAGCATACAATTTACAATCCAAAATTATTTTCCGAATATTCAAAATTTAATATACTTAGTAACAATTTAACATAAATTTCTTTATAATTAATTATATTCAAAATTGAAATGTCACATATTCATATATAGTGGTCTATATAATATCATAACACACATTTTACTAGATTATCTACACAGTCCGATTATAATTTTCTATTTTTGTCTATTAGGTATTATAATTAATAATTTATTAAATTACCTTTTGTCTTGGATCATAATAATATTTCTACAACATAGAAAATACCTGATTCAATAAAGGGCAAAATAGAGATGACAGGTGACAGGAAAACATGTTAATAAATGTTTTAATGATTTATTTTAGGATCCAGTGACTGTGGCTACAACATCAAAAGAAGTTGCTGACCCTAAGCCTCGCCTTAATTTTGAAAAAAACAGACACAGCTATAGTTAAAAATGTAGAAAATCCAGAACCCAATGTTGTATATGTGCAAGGTAAATAATACTGATTATTTATTAAAAAGCAAAATATATTATTATTATAGTTACAATCATATGCATACAAGTTTGTAAATATTATAAATGTTAATTTTCTAAAACTGTTATATTTATATTAATTTTTAGAGATAGATCCAACTACAGATACAGAAGAAAGTGCCAAAATGGTGAAAATAACCAACAATAAAGATATTATTACTAGGGGTATAACAAAAATTAAAAACAGGAAAAATTGCTTGCAAAATAGGTATGTTGAAAAAATTACATAGTCTGATACATTACATACTTCTTAAAATGTGAAAATTAGTATTTAAACACTGAAAATTGTTTCATGTTTTCAAATATTAAAAGCAAAGTTTAATATGAATTGATTTAAAAATAATTAAAAAATATTTCTTTAATTGGTATACAAGGTTAAGTGCACTTTTATTACTCTAGAATACTTTGTAAATTTCTAAAATAACTACAAAACTTACATTAAGTATTCCATTTCATTTTACAGAAGAGAAGATGTACACCAAACAATTGTAAAAAGTAACACAGATTTTAAAAAAAGACAACTGGAAATGATGGAAGAGGAACATAAATACAATATTAAAATAGCTAACCTAAAAATTAGAAAATTAGAGTTACAAATATTTTTATTAGAAAGTCAGAAAAACACAAGTTAAATAGCAGCTTAATGCTGCTGTGTTTATTATGGTGAGTTTATAGAATGAGAATAGAATAGAATGATTTTTATTAAATATAGATTATTACAGAATACTTATTGAAAGACATTTTTTATTTACCACTGGTTCGGAAAATACCTCAGTCCTGGGAAGAACTAGTAGGAAACCCAGCGGGACTTTTTTATAAACATATTTCTCTTAACAATAATTTTATTTGTACAATTTTTAAATGAATTTTAATAGAACCACCATGGTGGCGATCACCTCAATTCCAGTATTTCCAATATTCTCATTTATGTATTCTTTGATATTATAATAACCTTTTTATAAAATTTTTCTTTAATAAAACATTTAAACTTGTTTATTGACAAATTTTGGATAAATTTTTGTACAAATTTTGTATGAGAGAGACCTCTTTTACAGGAAACGAGGCATTCCATCTTACTCCACACGGGTGACAACGCATCTGCATTTTGATTTGTAGTCGAGGATAGATGTGGACGTCTATGCACCACAGCAGTTACTTAACATCAGATGGACTGTGTGTGTATGTGTGTGTGTGGTAGACTGTGTTTATCACCATTATCCTATAAAAAAAAACTAAATATTTGAGACTATATCAGATACATGTTTGTAAATATCCTCATATATGAAACAATTATTTTCAGGTACTAAATTGCTGCAAATATTTGTACATCTTTTATTAATAATTAAAATAAATAATTATAATTAATATGCATTTTATTGACATAACAATGAAATATAATATACAATAGTAAAAAACTATAATAAAAAAAACTAAACCTAATTACTTAGTCATCATACAGTCCTACTCCCCGTGGACCCGTGCACCTCTGGAAAGGAAATCCGGCTGTGAATGTAGAGGAGGGACGATATTTATTAAAAAATCTAAACATATCTCTAAAGCACTTAAATCTTTATATAATATAGCTTCATATTGATGTGGAATGTGCTGTACCCCGCATCTTTCCCTGAAACACAATCATTTATAGCCTAAATAAAAGCATTTTGCTCAATAAATGAAATATTATCACAATACTCCCCTGAATTTATTTCATATTGGTGAATATGTAGTCGTTATTCTTTGACAACTGACAACGGCTCTGCAGAAATATTTTCCTTTATAAATGGGTATTATCTCTGAAATCAAAAAGAAATATTATTATAATTGTCTTATACATTTATTGATCCTTAATGTAATTTTATAGCCAAAATTGGCCTCTGAATAACAAAATAAAATAAATTATATATACATAGCTTTAGACAATTGAAAAAAAATTGACAATTTTATAAATATAATTATTAATTTTAATTATAAATAGCTATATAAATATGTAAAAAAAAATGTTTACCTACTGAAAATGAGTTTCAATAAACTGTCTTCTTCTAATATTTCCCCTTATTGATGGTGCAATATATCTTTGTACTATAGGTTCAGATGAATATTGTTCAATGCTATCTCTCTCACCAGAAAACACATCTTCTCTCATGTCGATGGCCATATTGTGTAGTACAGCACATGCAACAATTGTTTTTTTTGCTGTTTCAATATCTCCAAACATACCTTTTAATAGGCAACGAAACCGTTGCTTCCACAAACCAAAACATCTTTCCACTGTGTTCCTGGTACGGATATGGCTCCTATTATATCTTTCTTCTTGTGGTGTTGTGAGGTTCAGCAGCGGTGTAAATAGGTAAGGGGTACAAGGATAGCCACTGTCACCAAGTAATATTCCAGAGAATGCACCAGCCTCAAACCTCTGTTTTAGTCTACATTCTCGGAATATTCTGGAGTCATGTACACTACCACGCCACCTGGTAACAATGTCCATGATTTTCAGGTCAGCATCACAAACCACCTGTAAAATAAGAGCTCATTAGTACTTTATGTTTTTCTGGTTTATTTTAATATATATTTATTACCATAAGATAGTCAAACAAATTATTTTCTATTATGATAAAGTAAAGTTATTAAGAGACAATCACAGCTATTTAAAATATTTGTATATTACCTGTACATTAATTGAAGAAAATCCTTTTCTATTAATATATAACTGACCCCCATCAGCATTCACTTTCTTTACTCGTATGTGAGTATAGTCAATTGCGCCAATTACTGTAGGAAAATTAGCAATACTGCGAAATTTCCTAATGGTTTCCTGCTGTTCATTTAAAGTAATAGGCATTTTAATAAATTCTCGGGACTTCCGTGACAAAATTTCCGCTACTTTTTTACATGTCCTACTTACTACTGGTTGAGACACACCATGTAAATCAGCTGTATCGTCTTGAATCTACGAATAAAACAATAATATGTATTATTTGGCTTTTTATCTAGCGTAATGTTAGGTACATTGACCCCACCAAGATTATAAACAGCACTTACTTCATGGCGAGCCCAGTTGCGTAATGCACAAACCACTTGAATTTCAGGACTCAATGGGCATCCTCGAGGGTCGTGCACTAAATCCTCACGTAAGATACCCACTATTTTTTCTCCGAAACGTTTTGAGAACCTATACTTATACCTTAAATCTTCGTCACTCAATTCAAACGGATTCACACGATGTCGATGTCTATCAGGTCGCCGAGTGGTGTCTAGCATGTCCAAATCTTCTAAATCCATCAAGTCAATCATGTTAATATCCATTTTTAACGATTTTAATAACACCAAATGAAAACAACGCTCACCTCAAATTAAGAAGTACCGAAATTGAGGTTAGTATAGAGTACCACAAACTATATAGAAAGGTTAGTACCATAGCTAAACTAGGGGTCTCGAAAGATTAACTTTAATACCATAGATAATCCTTGAACCAGAGATAATCTTCGTTTTGTAATAACGTTTTTCTTAGTTTATGGTTTAAATATATTACTAACTCCAGTACTATATTAAGTCCGCGTTTTGGAATAAGGCGGTAAAAGAACAAAGCCGAGAAAGCAAAGAGGTAGGTAAAATTCGGGCTAACAGAGATGAAAAATGTATGTCTATTACGTTGGACTTACAAAAGGTACTTCATATGCCATCTAGTAACGTGTCACTTTTGTACTACCTAAGGAAATTGAACGTATATGATGCTACCATTTACGAAGCACGTTCGTCAAATGATGGCCTTTGTTACTTATGGTCTGAAATTTTCACTAACAAATTTGAATATTACACTTACGTTCTAAAAAAAAAGCTTATAACAAACAGCTTCTAATCACTAAACCAAAGAAAAATTATTTATTAAAAATGTGCACTGAAAAAATAATACTTCCTGAACTGCATCATTGGTACCAAAACCTACCAGATGAAGAAGGTCGAGATGTTTTAACGGAAGACGAATATTAAGGACGCGGTAGATGAGTAGGTAGAATAACTAGGCATGCTTACTACTAGTTCATTTATTTAGTGCCAAAGTTTACTTCTTTGACTTATTTATGTGCCAATGAGACTTTTTTGAAAATAGAGATTGTTTTTTTAAGGATTAAGTTTTAAAGATAAAGAATACTGGTTTGTTTACATTTAAGACTGATTAATACAAGTTTGTTCCATTGAGAAACTAGTCTAGTGTTTAGTACTTAGGCTAATTTTAGAAATATCTAATTCACCCTTAGCTATCAGCTTAGGAACTTCAATGAAAAAAAGTAATTAACTTGGTTTTTAAGCTTTAAAAAAAATGTCCGAGGTTATTTTTTACAACTTTAGGTTGATTTATTAATAAATTTATTAAACTTTTTAACGTTGCTTTTTTATTTTTTTTATTTATAATACTTATGATGATACAGGGCATTTAATGGAAGCAAAACTAATTCAACGATTTCTCAAAGTTATGTGAACGTCACTTAATGAGTTCTTGCAGTAAGCCGACGATATACATCATATAATATATGCAATCCAATTCTAATATTTGTAAATTAACTTTTGTATTTCAACGTGCATTTTGATTCTTAATTGAATAAGAGGATATATATATAGATATCTATGGGCCACAGCATCCACTTATCAACAGGTGGACTGTGTGCTCGTTTGTCACCCTTATTCTAAAATAAACCTTTAAGTAACACAGTTTTTTATTAGCCAATTTCAAAAAAGGAGGAGAATCTCAATTAAAGTACGGCGTGTTTTGTTTTGTATGTAAGTTACCATTTTTATTGATTACTTTTTAATAAATAGGTTATACATCAAAAGTACCTAGTCTTGTGAAATTTAAAGAAAACTTTCTTACCCATAAGGGTGAAAGTTTAACTACTTATTTAAACGACATTCGAGCTTTTTAAATTTCTTAGTCCACTCAAAAGGCTCAAAAAATATAATAAAAAATAAAAACCGACCTCAAAGAACAGAAAAGAATAAAATATAATAGCTTCAGAAAGAGAGAAAGAGAGAGAGAGAGAGAGAGAGAGAGAGAGAGAGAGAGAGCTTTAAAACGTCTACACTCTATGTCTTGGATATTATACGAAAATTATTTTAATATTTTTAGTTTTTTGAAGTCGACTTTTATTTTTTTTAAGAGCCCTGTAATTACAATAAAACCAAATAATTTTAAATAATATATCTTAAAAATATTATTTATTTGTTAAAGAAGCCTTAAAATATTTTATGGCAAAAGTCGGGTCAAAATAAACAACCCCAACGTCCGTGTAGTAATTTTCTAAACCCACGAACACCGCGAAATCCTAAAATCAATATACAATCTTAATCTGGGTTGTACAAGGGTTGTATATTGGTTTAAGGCTTTCGTATCAATATCACTCACACGTTAAATTTTTAATTTATGTATACTAGCTGTGGTCCGCAGGATAACCTGGATGTATCCCCTTCCCGTGCAGTTATGGTAGAGATCGTCTGATTAAAAACTGCGTACGCCTCTTGTGTATTGGTAGTATATTTTATCACATTTACCGTATAATCTATCATAAATTCTCAATCAGCGCCCCCTTTCCATTGTGTTTAGCAGATCTTATTATTTTTATTATATTTGACATAAAAAGTGATAAGATCTACAAAAATGCAATAGAGGCCCACTCAGTTGTAAACTTAAAAAAATCTTTACTATTTTTATGTTTTGATTGTATTATGTTTCTATTTTATTTTTATGTTAAATTGTACATGTAAAAATTATATTAAATAGTTTTTACATGTACAATTTAATTTAATTAAAATGCATTTTATTCATTCCAGCATTATAAACCAAAATGTTCCATCCACTACGATAATTTATCCAAGGGTCTGTTACTTTCTACGTCAACGTAGGATACCAAAGACTTATGGCTTGGACCATTTAACCCGATGGACGTGCCTCGTATTCTTCTCTGTCAAGGTATTTAATTTAAAATTTGCATTAGAATACCGGAGCACTTGGTAACAGCATCATCTTCGTGACTTAGAAGCATCCGTCACCGGATTATCAATCAAATCGCCCATTAATAAAAAAAGAGAACATCTATCAACTATCAACTCAGCAACAACTTTTTCAAGCAATGGAGCAGTTATTCACCAACTTCAAGAAAGATGGAGCTGAAAGGAAAACCCCATCTAACATATCATGGCGACTGGAGACTGGATCAGTACCTACTGAAGAGAGTTCCAAACCAATCATATCAAGTTGTGTAAGTACGAAGACCAAGACTACACTTATTTCTCGGAAAATCACTTCGAAAAGCAAAATCATATTACACCGACTGTCGGAGAATTATTCAGCAACACATATCTACTGATCAAGAAAAAAGTCAGTTTTAAGACCTGCTACTCTTTTAGTCGGCGTGAATACAGATTGGCGTCCACTATCAACAACTGTATCAACGGCTGCATCAGCAACCCCATCAGGTAAGGCCAATACCAGCCGAGTAGATAAAGGTAATGACGAGATGTACCGGAAACTAAAAAGCAATTTTAAATTACTAGAACGAGCAATCAATACTACTAATCTTAAGTAACTTACCGAAAAGTGTCACTCAAGGACAGTTTACGTAACTTACAACTTCGCTGGAACGCCGTGGACTCCTTACTCTGGGAGATCGACATTGAGCTTACCACAGAAGACGTGTAGTACGAAAAAACATATTACTACATGTTCGAAGACAGCTACAAAAAGATCAAAAAATCAATGTAGCCCGTATCTCATCAAGAGCATTGTTACGGCCTACGGCTGCTCCCACAAAGGCTCAAATCCTCTGGGGCCCATTCAGCAGAGTTTCAACGAACAGACGTAGGTCGGGCCTCAATATGGCCGCGTGGAATTTCCTAATTACAATAAACAATAAGGGGGAGCGTTCTATCCTGCTGCCATTCAACAGGGAGAATATTAAACCCGAGCTTACCTACCTATATCCAAGGCGACTGCTCCCTCAGGGTTCGGTCAGGTCGCATGAGGTTGTATGGTGCATGTTGTGTGGTAGACCTTATGAGACCGTTGCCGTCGGCAGCAGCTCGGACTTCAGCACCGCTCCAAATTGTGGTAATCTTCCGCGGAGTCGTCCACAGTCACTTTCTTCGTTCGTCACGAGGACAGTCCTATTAGCTTCATTGTACATTTAACCAACTAAAACTCGCCTAATTCCACATTCATCGTAGAATCGAACACGTGATACACAGTAACGGACAGTAGTTCAAAGTTCAACATTCAATGTTCCGGATTCACTTATCACAAATTATAAAGAGGGAATTAAAGCGATCTATTAATGAGTCATACTACTCAGTTAAACACAACTAAGTTCCTTCATTCGACACCAAAAACCACGTCGCGAAAAGATTCAAAATACGCCTCGTTGACGCGTAAACTAACAAGCCAACACACACAAAAAAGGGCACTTAACGCGACGACACGATTATAATGATTTCCTGATGAACAACCGGGAGAAGCTTTCGAACAAGGAGTACGCGGTTCGAACCCTAGACCGTATATCTACTCGACGCGCGCGTGCACAATTCCGCAACTCCGAACAAAAAATGAAGGCGTGCTGTCCCAAACACAGCTGGCAAAAGACTCCTATTTGACGCCGCGCGTTCTACGCACGACCGAACGTCAAACCGGTATCGCCGAGCTGCGGCGCGCCCTCTGACGTCAATCCCGAAGTCAGTGTTTGGGCGTAAACAAGCATTCTACGCCAAAAATGGAAATCCCAACGTTTAGCGGCAGCTATCAGCAGTGGTCATCTTTCAATGATCTCTTCATGGAAATCATCCACAAGAATAAATTCATTTCAAATGTGCCAAAAATGCAACATTTAAAAAGTAAGGCCAAGGGAGAAGCCAAGAAACTAATACAATATTAATATTAGTTCCGAAAACTATGAAACATGCTGGGAAATTTTGAATCATCGGTATAACAACAAACGATTGATTTTCAGTTCTCACATTAACACGCTTTTTGGCTTGCCAGCAATACTATACCAATCATCATTGCGTCTGAAAAAATTGCACGACACCACAAAAGAGTGTCTAAGCGCCGTGAAAAACTTAGGCGTGAACATATCAAGTTGGGATCCTTTGGTTGTACATTTGTTGATCCAGAAACTGGACACTGATACACACAATGACTACTTCGAATATCTTGAAGATCCGAGGGAATTGTATACGCTATCACGATTTCTGACTTTTTTGGAAATGCGATTCCCAGCATTAGAATCGTCTCGACGCAAGCAAGCAAGATATCAAGATATCAAGAAAAAAGCTAAATATTGCAAGGCAAGCCCAGGTGCATCAATTAAAGCATTTATCAATCATACCAATGCGAAGTAATTGAAATCGTTAGCAAGGAATAAATACACATATCCATTGTGCAATGAACAACATGGAATTTTCCACTATTAATCGTTTCTAGGTCACACACCAGAATTAAAACTAAAAACAGTGGCAAAATTTAATTTATGCGAAAACTGTCTTTTTGATCATAAAGACAAGGACTGTTTTTCCGACAAAAGATGCGCGCATTGCAAAAGCGATCACAATACTTTATTGCACGATGTATACATATTAAATATCAACGCGGGCGAGCGAGACAGCAACAAAAGTGTCACACAGCAGAGAAACCTGACACATGTTTCACAAGAAAACGTCGCCAAAATCCTCCTGGCAGCAGCCAAAATCAAGGTGTCGTATCAGACGATGGAAGCTCTCTGACGATGCGAGCGCTGATCGCTCAAGGACCACAACATCTAATGGGACCATTGCCAAGTAACGAGTATCTGTTAGTAGTGGTCGACTACTATAGTCGATACAAAGAAGTAAACAATTACAAAAACATCATAAGCTTACAGATTATTAAAATGGTAAAAGAAATGTTCAGTAGACTTGGTTATCCTATTTCTATCACCGCCGACAATGGCAAGCAGTTCGTTAGTGAAGAGTTTCGACCTTTTTGCAAAGAATGTAACATTAAGTTACAGTTAGTACTGTACAATATTGGCTTCAAATGATCGGCGAAGTTGAAAGACAAAACAGAGATATTTTGAAACGTCTTCGTATCAGCCAGATCGAGAGGAAGGATTTAAAAGAATGTTTGTGGGAGTATATTCTAATGTATAACAGCACCCTTCCTTACACTTACCGGGAGGTTACCGTCTGAACTGTTTTTTTCAACGAAAAAGTAGGGATAAAATTCCATCAATAAGTGAAATAAATTACAGACAATCATTTAGATTCAGATATCAGGGACAGAGACAAAATACAAAAAGAAAAAGGAAAAGAGTATGTATATAGGAAACGCAGAGCAACTCACTCAGATATAATACAGGGAGATAAGGTTTACGTAAAAGCAGTGGAAAATAATTAATACAAACAATACAAGCCGCTTTGTGATTGTTATGAGTTATAATGAAAAAAAAAGAAAAAATCTTGATAAGAAAGAGATGTAGTGATTGCATATATGTAGTATACAGTAAATATTGTTATTTGTTTATTTACTAATAATTTACCATGCACAAATACACAAACATACATTTATATATAAGTCACTGTCTCGAGCGCACCACGTCAGTTACACGAGAGTCTCGGGCGAGAGTGGACGTGTTTAGTTAAGTGCGTGCCCAGCCTGTGTTACACTACAGTGATTAGAGAAGATAGCAGACATTACAAATACTACAAAATCAAAATATCGCGAAAATAAGCGGGATTTGTTTTGTTAACTATTGACGTCAGGCTGATAGCGTGTACGTGTATGGTCTAGCCATTCTATCTCGTTCTAACGTAAGCATATGCTATGCCCTTTCTCTTTTACATTGCCAATTTAAGTATATACTAAATCTATGATTACTATACTCTTTGGGGTAGATCTGTTTGCATGCGTCGTTCTCGTTCACGGTTTGTCGTTGACGTCTTGCGAGTGTAGGTGAACAAAAAGAACTGTTAGACCTATTAACAATCGGCATTCTGAAACGATTCTTCTAGTGGCAAGATACGTTTCCTAATCGTTCATCGTTCGCGAACTACACAAGACTACAAGACTTGGCCTAAAGGTCTAGATACCAGGCCATAAACTCCAAAAAAAAATCAGCTAGTCTGTGAGCTGTGAGATTTGTTTACAAACTGTTACAAAGTACAAACACAATAAGTTTTATGATAATAAAAATACTGATTTTGCAAAATTTTTCAAAATAGAGCAACAGATGTCTACACAAACTGATTTTGGTCCTGATTCAGGGGGAAGAGTAAAGGTAGATTTGTATTCATATTATAGGGCGATGTATAATTATCTTTTGGCGTGAGAATTATGTTTTAATTGATTAATTATCCAGATTGTCCTAATCGTTTCTATAAAATACAAGCAACTTGTTATTATTCATCAATATAATTATATTTATACTCCTATGGCTGAGGTTATCCGCATATTAATTTTAACATATTCATAACCTTCGATAATTATAACTGAAGTAAAATTAGCAATATAATAACAATAGTCTTTTGGCGACGTAAGAGAGTCTACTATATTATATTAACCCCTGGGTATTGTAGGTGGTGGCAGAGGGAAATGAGGATGGCTAACAAAGTGTGGCAACTGCGACAATTAAAAATGAAGCAATATTTGAGGGAGGCCTATGTTCAGCAGTGGCCTTTTGATAGGCTGTAATTAAGATTATGATAATACACACATACAATACAAACACTCACGCCTGTCACCCAGAGGGGTAGGCAGAGACTACGGACTTCCATTTGGCGCAATCCTGACACACCTCTCTTGCCTCCTTTACATCCATATATCTACGCATACACGCTCGTCGATTAAGGGTACTCCTAATCTGGCCCATTTTCAATATATCGCCGATTTGGTCGATAAATCTTCGTCTAGGGAGTCCCTTCTCGACTCTGCCGTTCACTTCTGAAACATAAATTTGCTTTGTCACTCTTTCCTCGTTCATTCTTTCTATTTAACCAAACCACCGAAGCATTCCTTTTTTAATCCTGCTCACAACATCATGCAAACCACACTTTTCTCTTATCACACTATTTCTCACCCTGTCATTCAGATTCAGCCCTAGCATACTCCTTAATGACCGCATTTCTACAGCATTTATTCTACTCTCATGCTTCTTCTGCCAGATCCAACTTTCACTACCATACATTAAAGTAGGGACTAACACAACATTATGAATTGCCATATGTACCTTCTTTGACACATTCTGACTCTTCATAATTGCGTGTAGATCCCCATTCACTCTATTTTCTGCGTTCACTCGTCGTTGTATATCCTTATCATATCTACCATCCCTGCTAAATAAACATCCCAAATATACAAACTCATCCACTTCTTCAATCAACTCCCCTTCTATTCTTATTTCACATAACGTTTTACTTTTTCTTCTTTTTCAAAAATTATGATAATAAGGGTTGTTAAAAATAAAAATGGCTTTTTTATCTGGATAAAACTAATATTTATAATCTTATTAGGAAAAACATGTTTTAAAGTATATTCTTAAATTATGAACTAGGTTATTCTGTGGATTTGCACTGGGCATAGGATTCCAGTGGAAAGAGAATGTGGTGTTAAAGAGAAGTAAGTTATATCTAGATGTTCAATGTAAAATCGTTAATTAGTCAATTTTTTTTTATTAGCCTCTATATTGTTATGTGGTGGACCAGCCTCATTTTGTACCATTGGTGTCGTAAGAAGGAACTAAGGGAAATTCCAGAAATCTTAGGGCTTCCAGATGTAAAATACCCTAATCAACCAATTAATAATGTTGATCCACATAACAAGTCTTTGGGATTGGGTTTTTGTTTGTTGATTAGCAATGTGCTCATATTTGGTAGAGCCACGCTGCAGCTATATTATGGTTGTAGCATGAATGGGTCGGCTCGACCAATGTAGGACCACACTCTAACAGCATATCAGCGTAAAATAGCAGCTTAATGCTGCTGTGCTTCATATGGTGAGTCTCTCACTAACCGGAGCCCCTTTTTACTAAAACTGGCAAATGTATTCCATCTCAGTCCTTAGGGGTGACCGTGTATCTGCATTTTGATTCTTAACCGAGGGTAAATGTAGAAGAGTATGAGCCACAGGTTCCAGTTACCATCAAGTAGACTGTTGACATTTGTCACTCTTGTTCTATAAAAAAAAGGATACAGCATGTGAAGTTAAAATTAATATTTGAAGGAGTAGTGTAAGTGGTAAACCATTACAACCTATACACTATATTATTATAGAAGTATTGAATATTGTTATAGAAATAATATTTCTGGAGCATGTTATATGTTGTCGATCATGTTGCATTATGTTATGATCTGATAGATAGTAGCATTGTGGTTAATTTTTTTTTCATAGGATATCATGACAAACAAGATAAGGATAAGGGTGACAAACAAGCACACAGTCCACCTGATGGTAAGTGGTTGCTGTGGCCCATAGACATCTACATCTACCTTCGTTTGCGAATCAAAATGCAAATGCGTTGTCACCCGTGAGGACTAAGGTGGAATGCCTCTTTTCCAGTAAAAAGAGTTTCCGGTTCTGTACACTCACCATACGAAACAGTAGTGTAAAGCTGCTATTTTACGCTGGTATTCTGTGAGAGTGTGCTCCTTCCCCGGTCGAGCCAACCCATTTGTGCTACAACTATACTACTAATATAGATGCAGCATTGCTCTACCACATATTAATAAATTCTATTGTTACATTGAAAAAGTCCTGAGTGAAACTTGTAGTGACAACTACTGAATGTAACAACATCTGCCTGGCAAGCTAGTTTTTATAAAGAATCAGTCTGTCACAATATGATAAAATTACTGGAGTTTCTTTTAGATCTCTTTGACCTTGCTTATTAATGCAATACTGACCAAAAGCTACAGTGAATGTTCTATTAATTTTATTAAAATTTAATTTTATTAAATTCTAATAATATTAGATTTTAACTAAATGCTTTTTGTAAAACAACAGTTTAACATTAATTTTAAGTGTTATTAAATAAACAATAATCACTTAAACAAAAATTTATTAATGAATTGTTTGACATTACTAATAAATATTTATTATATTAAGTGCTACTTCTCAAACAATTGTTTAACTTTACTATTAAATTTCATAAGTAATAATTTCATTAATTGCAATAGTGCGAAAGAATATCAACTACCTCATATCGTCCCATGGATGTCGTAAGAGGCAGCAGCGTTTTTTGTGATAGCAACTAAAAACAAAAACTTCAGTTGCTGACCTGCAGGTCTATTGTCTATGCCTATGAGGCAATTTATGGAGGAGGTCTTATGTTCAATGGTGGACTTTAAATAGGCTATAACGGTAACGGTATTTTAAATAAGTACTATTCTATTAAGCAACTGTTTCACATCACTTGTTTGATAAGTAATAATAATAATAATAAAAACTGAACTTAACGCTCTGTATAAAAAGTCCGCACTACCATGCCGTCCCATAGGATGCACCGTCCGACATTGTCGGTAATGTGGCTGTACTTGCCGCGGAAGCTTTGTGGGTGTGGTTTTTTAAGCACGGTCACCATGCATAATCGCGAAGTGTGCACTATATTTATATAGCCTAACCAGATGAGAAAACTATACAAATACCATAAGTAATAATAATAATTATAATAACCCTTTATTCAGACAATTAAACAAAAAACAATTATTAATATTATTTTATATAATTAATATTTTGTTTTCTATTTAACTTCTGCCTGTTTGCCTTTATTGGCAATGGCCTCCTCCAATTGTCTACCACTCTCTATTACCAGCTGTTCTGGTCCATATGTTGCCGGCTACTGATTTGATGTCATCAACCCAACTCCTGAATGGTCTACCTCTTTTCCTTTTCTTGAAACTTGTGTACCAGTGCATTATTATTTTGCTCCATTTGTCTGTTCCCCTAGCTGTATGTCCTGTCCATATCATACCTACATTTAAGTTGCTTTATTGTGATTGTCATATCTTTTGTTCTTGTATGTTTCTTTATGGTTGTAGTTTTTACTCTGTTGGATAATCTTTTTCCCTAGTAGAAAATGGGATGTTTGATAAGTCGCATTTCTTTAAAATACCTATATACAGTGAATTAAACTACTTTTACGGATTTTTTCGCGTTTAATTAACTTATTTTTCTTATTTTTATTAGTTCCCGACATTTCGGGTGCTTTACAGCACCCAAGTCACGGGGGACTGACGTGTGTAGTGTTCGCGTAAATATAGGAAATCATTACCTATACAGGTTGGGCCATATAGACGTATGATTTTTGAATAACTTACGTTGGAGCGGTTTGTGATAGGTGGAAATAAGTAGCTCGGTTCGCGGAAATTTAGTTGCCATGGAGCGCTTCACTGGTGCACAAAGTGCATACTGCGTAAAAAATTATTACAAAAATAACTATTCGTACAGTGTTGTTCGACGTTTATACCGTTCTGAGTACGGATTACAGGATCTAAATCAGTGTCCCAGTGAAAGTGTGATTAGGTCTTGAGTCAGAATGTTCGAGTCTACTGGGTCAACTCTCAATCAGAAACTTTCGGGACGCCCAAGGTCAACAAGAACATAAGAATCAATTAACGAAGCAACGTAATCCTGGTTTATCAACCCGAAAGCGTTCAGATGAGCTTGCTGTATCCAGAACAATTGTGCGACGCATTTTAACGAAAGATCTTTAGTTTCACCCATATAAGATTCAATTAGTGCAGGATTTTAAGTCAAATGACCTGAATTTACGCCGTGTTTTTTGCGAAACAATGTTGGAAAGTTTTAGGAGTTTCAACAATATAATCTTTTCCGATGAAGCCCATTATCACTTAAATGGTCACGACAATACGTTCCAAACATCAAATGCCTCTGCAATCGCCGAAAGTTACGGCTTGGGCAGCCATATCTGCACGTGGGATCGTGTCGTGAAGCGACAATAATATATCAAAAAGAATCTAACCTAAGAACAACAAAACAACAAAAATACAACAAAAACAGAAATATATTCAAAATTCAAAGATATTTACAATTTTATAAAAAAATGAAATGAGGATGATGATGAATGAAGTGAGAGCACAATTAGATTACAAAAAAAAAATATAAAGGTAGGAGAATAGGGGAATATAGAATTGTAGTGGAGCCTAAAAGTCGAAGCGACACACGTAGCGATTGTAGAGGTAGGTTTCTTATCAGCGACGGCACGCAGCGCCTGGAGCCAGCACACGCAGCGTCCGGAGCCGGCGCACGTAGCGACTGGAGTAGAGTGGCCCCCGCGCTTGTAGTAGTCTCGAAGCAACTTCCGAGGTAGATGGAGGCTTGTAGGAATCCGGAGTGGTGCGGCTCCGCGTTTGAAGAAGGCTTCGCCGAAGACTTCACGTGTAGGTGGAGGCTTGCAGGATCCCGGGGCAGTGCGGCCCCGGGATAAGGCCTTTAGGAGATACTTCCAATTCGCGAACTGAAGCGAGACTGCCTTTCTTCACCGATTGTTCGGCTTTTATACCTTTCTAGAGAGAACGGAAAAATTATTTAAATTAAACGCAAATTTTTTGTAAATGGTCAAGAGAAAAAAGTATTTATGTGGAATTATCGAAATAGGAACAACAGATCGGTAGCAAATTTGAATATAATTACTATAGCAACGAAATAAATAACAATATCAAAACATGTCAAATTTTGGTTTTAGGTTTATAATAAGAAAACGGTAAGATTTAAGTGGAAAATGAGATATTATTGATATAGGAAAAAAGGTAGCGCAGCTGCCCACACAAAGCCCAAGATTGTAGAGTTACGGAAAACTAGCTAAAAGATCGAAAAAAGGTAGACTCCATTGACACCAATTTAAAAGTGCTGATAATGTGAAAATACGAAGTAGAAATGATTTGTTATTGAGTTCTTATGGTTTAAAATCGTTACAGGATCCTATGGAAATAAAGGTGATGTAAAATATCCAGTTTTGAGGTGAATGCAGAAAATCGAAACAGAATGGAAAAATGAATTTAAAATAATGTAAAATGATATATGTAAGTAGCATAACACTACATTTTCCACCCGACCCTGGAAAATTTTTGACTCAGCAAAAATTTTGATATATACATTCTAAAATAAACCATAAAAACACAGCTTTGCAGAAACAGACATCACCAGGCAAAATCAGATATACCATCTCTTACATTCATCATCTGCCGTTCAGGTAAGGGTGGAGTTCACATTCAATGACTACCACTCTAAAAGTGTGTTTTCAAAACGACATTAAGGCTTATTTAAGGAGTAGTCATCCGCTCCTGCGTGGAAAAAAAAATAAATTAGTCGAAGAAACACCACTCTTAAAAGTGTGTTTTCGAAAGGACATTCAGGCTTATTTAAGGAGTTGTCATCCGCTCCTGCGTGAAGATAAAAAAAATTATTAAGGGAGTAGTCAGCCGCTCCCAAGTGAAGATAAAGATAAAGAAATCAATCTTAAGCAAGCTTTAGTCGCTATGACTTAAGTAAAGATTAAGAACGGCCAGAGCGGTAGGGCTCAAAGCCAGAGATCAGCAACATCACTAGCGAGATGTGTCTGAAATAAAAAGTGAAGATTAACCAACGAAAGTTCGAGGTCCTAAAGCAAGATGTGTTGAAGAACACTGGATCATCAAACAAACAAACAAATTAAAAGAAATAAAAATAATAAGGTGAGAATGATGGTGATATTTATACATATATACAAATTAACAGTTAATAAATGTTTAGATATTTATACATATATACAAATTAACAGTTAGTAAATGCTTAGAAAAGTTATGAATCGTCTCGCTTCAGCTTTGAAAAACAATTTTATATAAAGTGTAAAGTTCAAAGTTAAGTTTAAGAAATAAAGATTTAATTGAAAAGTTATACCTCTTTAAGTTACCTAGAATAAAAATATTAAGGTGATGAATGTAAGTGTTGTGTGAAATGTAGGTCTAAATATAATCCAGATAAGTTGAAACACTAGATGAAGTGTTATTTTAGAATTTGGAAGGTATGAAAAGGATGAATAAATAAAGAGTTAAGAACGAAAGGGAGAGCAATTAAATCAAAAGGGAATGGAAAAGGCGCAGTAAAGGTGAAGAATTAAGAGAGAAAGAGGACTTTTACGTTGGGCGCCAAATGTCGTGAAGCGACAATAATATATCAAAAAGAATCTAACCTAAGAACAACAAAACAACAAAAATACAACAAAAACAGAAATATATTCAAAATTCAAAGATATTTACAATTTTATAAAAAAATGAAATGAGGATGATGATGAATGAAGTGAGAGCACAATTAGATTACAAAAAAAAAATATAAAGGTAGGAGAATAGGGGAATATAGAATTGTAGTGGAGCCTAAAAGTCGAAGCGACACACGTAGCGATTGTAGAGGTAGGTTTCTTAGCAGCGACGGCACGCAGCGCCTGAAGCCAGCACACGCCGGTTGCGCTTGTAGAGGTAGGTTTCTTATCAGCGACGGCACGCAGCGCCTGGAGCCAGCACACGCAGCGTCCGGAGCCGGCGCACGTAGCGACTGGAGTAGAGTGGCCCCCGCGCTTGTAGTAGTCTCGAAGCAACTTCCGAGGTAGATGGAGGCTTGTAGGAATCCGGAGTGGTGCGGCTCCGCGTTTGAAGAAGGCTTCGCCGAAGACTTCACGTGTAGGTGGAGGCTTGCAGGATCCCGGGGCAGTGCGGCCCCGGGATAAGGCCTTTAGGAGATACTTCCAATTCGCGAACTGAAGCGAGACTGCCTTTCTTCACCGATTGTTCGGCTTTTATACCTTTCTAGAGAGAACGGAAAAATTATTTAAATTAAACGCAAATTTTTTGTAAATGGTCAAGAGAAAAAAGTATTTATGTGGAATTATCGAAATAGGAACAACAGATCGGTAGCAAATTTGAATATAATTACTATAGCAACGAAATAAATAACAATATCAAAACATGTCAAATTTTGGTTTTAGGTTTATAATAAGAAAACGGTAAGATTTAAGTGGAAAATGAGATATTATTGATATAGGAAAAAAGGTAGCGCAGCTGCCCACACAAAGCCCAAGATTGTAGAGTTACGGAAAACTAGCTAAAAGATCGAAAAAAGGTAGACTCCATTGACACCAATTTAAAAGTGCTGATAATGTGAAAATACGAAGTAGAAATGATTTGTTATTGAGTTCTTATGGTTTAAAATCGTTACAGGATCCTATGGAAATAAAGGTGATGTAAAATATCCAGTTTTGAGGTGAATGCAGAAAATCGAAACAGAATGGAAAAATGAATTTAAAATAATGTAAAATGATATATGTAAGTAGCATAACACTACAATCGTAGGTCCGTATTTCTTTGAAAATTCAATTTGTGACAGTAAATTTGGACCGATACACAGCCATGTTATGAGATTTTTTATTTGCACAACTGCAAGAATTGGAATGATACAATCGTACGACATGGCTTCAACAAGATGGCGCGATATGCCATACATCTGATACCTCGATAGTAGTTGTAAACGAGAGGTTCAGAGGAAAACTCATATCGCGCAGAGGTGTTATTGCGTGGCCGCCCAGAAGCCCAGATTTGACACCACCAGACTTATTATTGTGGGGATACAGTTTACCACAACAATCCAACCACGATTGTCCAGTTGAAGACTAATATCGAAGAAGAAATGGCGGCTATTCCAAGAACAATGTGCCAGCGAGTTTACGATAATCTTAGGTCCAGTTTGGAGGAGTGTTTGCAGCGCAATGGTACACATCTTGAGGATGTCATTTTCAAAAATAACTTTCCCGTGTACCTATTTTTATTACAATAAAGATTTGTTTGTATAATAGTATAACATTTGTCCTTTTTTTTAATGATTTTTTCAAATCCAACTTTCTGGCCCAGCCTTTACCTACATAATAATTAAAAAAAAGGATGTCATCTTTATAAACAACTTTGCAAAAAATTCTTTCAGGGCTTGGTCATAGTGAAGCCAATAGTATATGGCAACATAGCTAGGTATTTTGGTAAGAAGAGAGAAGAAGATGGTCACACGCATCAGTGGACTGTGTATGTCAAGCCCTATGCAAATGAAGATATGTCATCATATATAAAAAAAGTACACTTCAAACTGCACGAAAGTTATGTTAATCCTAACAGAATAGTCACAAAGCCACCTTACGAGCTGACTGAGACTGGTTGGGGAGAGTTTGAGATTGTTATTAAAATATATTTCCATGATCCTAATGAAAGACCAGTAAGTATTTATTTAAGTCAATTTCTTTAAGACTGATTTCAAACACAGCAACAATTTTTTGGAACGAAGTTCCTTATTGCACGGTACGGATTTTACGGATGGGAGCTAGGGGACAGAAAGTGTAAGATTTTTCCGTCACGACCCCTTCTGACGTAGTGTGGACGGCCTTGGCGGCTATAAGGAAGCGAGATGGAATAATATCCAAGCCGCAGATCAGGATAGTAACAAGTGATATCACAGGACACGGCATCTTTAACAAACTTTATTTACCATAGGTGTTACGGACAGTCCCCTGTGCAGGGCATGTATGGGGGAGGGAGAAACGGCGGCCCACGTGCTGCTGACAAGTCCGGAAGTCGCTGCATACAGGGCTAAACATCTCGGCACGCCGGGATCACTCCCCGAATTTGCTTGCAACTCCAAAGGACTGTTGAACTTCTTCGGGGAGATTTCATGGCTACATGCAAAAGACGCGCTTAGACGTGGAGTTGCGGAAAACTTCGCGTTTATTCAATTCAATTCAGCCATCTCCCTCGCACTTTTTGTTACCTTATCATGAAAGAAATATTATTTTATTTTAAATGACGCTTCATTTTAATAGACGCTAGTAATTCATTTATTTGTATTTGTTAAGCAATAATATAATACATATAAATAATAATAATATAAATAATAATATACTGCGAAAGGAACTTCGTTCCAACCGAGTGTTCCACAACAGTCATGCATGTTGTTTTTTTAATTACAGTAGTGGTGACAAAGAAGCACACAATTCTCCTGATTTTAATTGGATTCCCGATTGATTTTGATGAAATGCCTCCTTGCCAATGAAGAGTGTCTCTAGTTCACGTCATTCGACAAACGGAATACAGCCATTGTATTGCAAATTAATACTGACTTGACTGCCTCGTTGGTCTAGTGATCGTAAGCGCCGACCGACGCGGGTTCGAACCCCGGGTCGGGCAAAAATCAGTTATTGAATTTTTCTGTCTAGAATTTCCTAAAGCCGGACAGCATGTAGAGCCGTTATAGCCGATATATATATATATATATTAGTTGGACAGTTAGACCTTGTGTCACATTAACTATACAAAGAAACGTGTTACGAAAGTCTAGACACTCCATGAACTGCAACAACCCCTGGCCTGTAATCACGCAAACTATAAATTACAAAAATAGTCTCTAAGATAAAAATATAGTATTTACTAAATTATTAAATATTACTGAATGCTAAGTGTAAAAAAAAAATATTATTTCCAGGTCACACTTTACCACATTCTAAAACTATTCCAATCACCAGTAAATGAAAGTGCTCCACCTACCATAGGCCGCGCGCTGGTGAGCGAATCGTACGAGGAGATAGTTTTTCAAGAACCGACACAGCTAATGCAGCATATGCTGAGTAACGTCAAGCCTATTACCAATGCACCTTGGACCCACGATACCAATTGTAAGTACTTTTGAACTCATTACCAACTGCCCATAAACGTTTCACCATACATAGCAGGCGTCAGGCAGATTGGCATTTTTATACCTGTGGCAACCCTAGACCTATGACAACCCTAGACCTGTGGCAACCCTGGTGATAAGTTGTAAAACTAATTGTTCCTGAAAATTTTTATAAATTTAAATATTGCAAATTCATAATATCTTACTATAATAATTACTGCCACCTTGTATTAAATATTAAGAAATTCGCTACATAAATATTATAACAATAATTTTGTGTTGGAACATAAAGTGACAGGTAACGAACATTGTTTAAAATTATTATAAGTCTTATTCCTTATCATTCCTTTTATTATAATTAAAGACCTATTCTATATATAATAATAATAAAAATTAAAATTCTATTACTCGGATTAAGTATTATTTTGTGGGTTTCTTTTCGAATTGTGTGCTGTGCGATTTAGAAGAAGTTTTCTCCCTAGCACAACTTCTTTGTGGAATCAATTACCACCAGCGAATTTTCCGAACCGATACGACTTAGGAACCTTCAAGAAAAGAGCTTACACCTTTCTAAACGGCCGGCAACGCATCTGCAATTCCCCTGGTGTTGCGGTTGTTCATGGGCGGCGGTAGTCACTTACCATCAGGTGAGCCGCATGCTCGTTTGCCCCCTATTCTATAAAAAAAAAGAACTATTCTTTTTTAACGATAATTTGATTTGAGATCTGTAAATAGTAAAATTAAAAGAAAAAATTACAACCGGACATTACTTTACTCTGCTTCTTCAGTTTCGATCGTTGTTTTCTTTTATTATTTACAATAAATAGTAAAATGAATACTCGCAACGCCAAGACGCGCCAGATGGAGAACCAACTCCAGCTTGCGCTTCAAGAACTTAAGGCGTCCAAGGAGCAGTGTGAACTGTTGGCTAAGGAAAGGGATGAAAAGGAAAAGGAAATAGTTGGCATAAATGCCAAAAATACACAAATGAAATTTGATATGGTTAAGTTACATACATATTACACAAGCGTTATAAAAGAAAGAGATCAGCTACAGGGAACGATTAATGAGTTTGACCAATGCAGCAAGGAATATGAGGAAGCTCTCAGGTTTATTGCTGTATTGAAATTACTGTTGAATCAGGTTAATGAGCAAATAGTACAATTTAACACATACGTAGATAACTTAAAACCCTCCCACACTCGAAGCCTGTTCTTTGAGCTTGTGCAATGTAATAATTCTAAAATATTACAGCAATCTGCGACAATAGATTTGACAGGTGACTACTCTTCCACTTCAAAAAAAACAGTAAGGATTAATTGCAGTAAAACCAAATTGAAGAAATATATGAAACTTAATAAATGCATGTAGAAAATAGAAAAATTAATTAAAAATAAGATCAATACCAAAAATTATGTTAATGTATATAAAGAAATGCAAGCATTGATATTTGAACTTAAATTGTATCCAATTGAGGTGGATAACATTAAAAAATGTTATGAGACTGACGTAGAGTGCCTTAAATCAGAATTTTACTACTTTCTAACTCCCTTCAAACTGTCTAATAAATATAAATCAACCCAAAATGAAATAAAAGAACACATACTGGTTATTTGTTCTTTTGTTTGAAAATATACAAGCTATCTCTATTATCAAGTTTAAGTATTTAATTAAACAAAAAAAAACTGTATAAAAAGGATTATTATAATATAATGAATTAAAAACAATAATGAAAAAATACATATAATGAATGGATGATTGATAATAACCCCTGGGAATGAGATGGTTGCTTCCAAGCTGTTTCTAAAATAAATTTTGTAAATAGTGTGTAATCACTTATATTGTAAAATTTATTTTAAAAAAAAGTCCCGTTGGGTTTCTAAAAACTGTGGCGTGTAGGGACAGTGTAAGAGAATCCACTACCCCATTTCATCCTGTGGGTGTCGTAAGAGGCGACAGAGGTAAACAAATCAGGAGATGGGCAGCAGCATCTTCCTGCCCTGATACCGACTGCAGTTCATGAAAAACTGTAACAGCAAACCCCAGGTGTGACTACTATGGTAAATATCCTCCCTTAACGGCTCCGTGTTGTAGTGGCTTCATTAAGATACGGCGCTGAGGGCTGTAAGATCGAATCCCGCACAGAACAAGTATATTTATGACCTACAAATAATTCTTTCTGATCTAGACCATAGGTCATAAATATACAGCATCTATATGTTTGTTCTTATGCAATTTATGTATGTAAGTGGTCTCCGTGATACAGGAGATAATCCCAGTGTTTTTACCACTAAATTATTGAATAGTATCATTTTTTAAACAACATGAATGAAATGAAGCTTTTTATTATTATATCGCATCCTTTAAAAAAAATAACGTTAATCTATGGGGGAGACCAATGTTCAACCGTGGACGTGGACTATATGTGTATATTATATTACTATGTTGCCATTTCCCTTCATCCCATCATCAAACCAGCAATTAAACTCCCAACCCTTGCACAGAATATTTGCTGATATACTCGTAGTTATGACGTCACCCGTCGTTCGAGGCGTTGTTTTTTTTTTATGGGAGAAGGGTGACAAACGAGCACACAATCCACCTGATGGTAAGTGGTTGCTGCGGCCCATAGACATCTACACCTATCCTCGATTACGAATCAAAATGCAGATGCGCTGTCACCCGTGAGGACTAAGATGGAATGCCTCGTTTCCAGTAAAAAGGAAATGCTTGTGTTAGCGGTAGGATAGGCGGAAGAGGGAGGGCAGATCATCGGCAAACTTTCTGCGAGCGGCTTATATGCGAGGAACACTACACTTTTTGATTGTGAATTTCATATTTAATCTTTAAACTTTGTTATGTCGTACCATTTCTTTCTAGTTGAAGAAAAGAAAGAGAAAACTCTGGAAAGGATAATAGCAGCGCAGGTAAAGGTGAGGAATGAGATATCTGATTTAAAAGAAAAGTTGCATCTGGCAAAGGAAACCATATCCAAATTCAAGGAAGAGATCGCGAAGATTCAAAATAACCCATCCTCTAATATTTTATCTGCTGTATAAATGAAAATCGACACAATTATATAATTATAATAAAAGCAAATAATTTATTTAGATAAGACTTTAAGGTAAAAAGTATTATTGCAATAATATAAATAAGTTTAGGACGATTAAATTTTTACGGTAACACTAGTAATACGTATAGTAAGCAATTTGTGATTATAACATAATTGTAAATAAAACATTTTTTTTTTGTAAAAGAAGTGTACGTTTATTACGACATTGAATTTTAAATCCTTTCTTTAGACTAACATTTAATCTATAGGTACATACGAGGGCGGCACTGAAAATTTCGGGAATCAAGGAAGTGACACACATTACTATTTAAAAATGTTTTGTTGCTTTTCGAAGTATTCTCCGCGAAATTTGACACATTTTTCCATACGATGGAACCAATCATTGAAGCAACCATTCCATTCGGAAGTTGGGGTCTCCAAAATGGCCGTTTTGTAGGCGTCCACAGCTTCTTCAGGTGATGAAAATCTCTGTCCACGCAATTTATTCTTTATTTTAGGGAAAGTATAGAAATCTTTAGGGCTTAGGTCGGGGCTGTACGGCGAATGGTTTAATAATTCTATGTTTTCTTGCTCTAAAAACTTTTGTTCTGTGTGCGGTGTCGCATTGTCGTGATGGAGGATGATGCGGCGGTTGCAGTTCTCTTTACGGAGTTCAGAAACGACCTGTGGCAAACAAATGCTAGCATACCATTCTGCATTACCCGTTCTTTGTCCCTAAAAAGGAATAGTCGTAACATGGCCGGTTTTGGAGACAAACGTGGCCACCATTTTTTTGCAACACTCCGTGAACGAACAATTTTTGTTGGCTTTAACTCATTTTCGAACACCCAAACTCGTGACTGGTTTTTTGTTTCGGGTTCGTACGCGTATATCCAGGATTCGTCACCTGATACGATGTTGTATACAGCATTTGAGGATCCTCCGTGGAATCTTTCGAGAGTTCTGACGCACCAAGTAACGCGAGCCGCTTTTTGCTCTTCACAGAGCGAATGCGGTATCCATCGGGAAAACAACTTTTTTACACCTAATTGCTCATGCAAGATTATTTGTATTTGACTCATGCCAACGTCTAAAGTTGCCTGAATTTCGCGGTATGTCACATGTCGATCTTCCTCAATCAGCTTACGCACAGCATCAACGTTTTCTTGGGTGACTGCAGTTTTTGGACGACCTTGACGGGGATCATCACTGAGCTTGACACGTCCACGTTGAAATTCAGCAAACCAGCGATAAATTGTGGTATGGGATGGGGCTTCATCACCAAATGCAGAAATCATCCGGTCAACACACTGTTTTTGTGTTAAACCACTTCGAAAGTCATAATAAATCATCGCTCTTGAATGTTCTCGAGTCAATTCCATTTTCTCAACGACTAAACAAGTTTGACAAAACCTTGTGACAAGACCGAGAATCTTTTTTTAAATAAATAAATGGTATTCGATTTTTAAAACCAAAGACTTTTCAATTAAAAAGATTTTAATATGACAGGAACAGTGGAAATATTCTATTCCCGATACTTTTAGTGCAGCCCTCGTATAAATACAATTCAAATGTCTGTGTGTAATATTGAAATAACTGGCTTCTATTAAGCTCAGGGGGTTATTTGAATGCTATTAAGACATAAACAACTATTTTTAATAATGATTTCTTATATTTACGGGAACACTACACATTGAATAAAATTTGTTAAAAAAATTGTTTAAGGATTTTATCGCGTTTAATTTACTTATTTTAATTCCAGTCCCCATTGAAGTCAAGTCATAGTTAGCATCTACGCAGAATGAGCTTACAGTATCTCGAAGTCATGCAGTAGTATGCTTGGGTTTAGATTTCATTTTGTTAATTATAGTATCCCAAGCAGATGGCAGCACCCATCCTTCTTCTCTATTGGAATTAGGATGTTTCTTAATTTCATTAGCCTCGCGTATCATCCTTGGTAGGAATCGGTTTTCTTTTGTGAGGATTTGTGGTCTATCAAATCTAATGTAATGGTGGGGATCTTGAACGTGTTCACAGACTGCAGAGTTCCCAGAGCGTCGGTGCCCTAAGTCAGCTATATGTTCTTTCACGCCGGTTTTAATAGATCTTTTTGTTTGTCCTATGTCAGAGAGACCATATTCGCAATCAAGCTTGTACACTCCTGCATCTTGTAGAGGGATATTACACTTGACGGATGGTAAAAATTGACTAATCTTCTTCGGCGGCTTGAAGTATGTATTAGTGGAAGCTCGCTTCAAGATGTAGCCATCCTTGTATCTGACTCCTCTGACTTAGGGTAGTACAGCAGGCACACGCTCGACTGTGGCCGGCTTCACTCGGTCACTGTGATGTAGGCGCGGGACGCGAAATTAAAAAACATACTAATTTCATCCTAATTTCGATAGAGAAGAAGGATGGGTGCTGCCATCTGGTTGGGATCCTATAATTAACAAAATTAAATCCAAACCCAAGCATACCACTGCATGACTTAACGGTACTGTAAGCTCATTCTGCGTAGATCGGACCAAAAATTAATATTCAAAAACTGAAGGTAGCCGGGCTAACTATGACATCGGGACGTCAAACACCTCAGTCCCCCTCGTGACCATGGGTGCTGTAAAGCATTTAAAATAAAGCAATTAAAATAAGTAAATAAAATTAAACACAATAAAATCCGTAAGCATAGTTTTATTCAACCATTTTTAAAAAAAATTCTCTTGTTTGTCCAGGCTCCTTTTTTAAACACCCCTATTTTTGCGTCGGGGGTTCATAAAAAAGATACCATCATTATCGATTGCCTTCCGTTTCAGCCATCTTTAAAATCTTCTAAAACGACGTCAACTATGTTACATATAAATTCTGATAGTTAGGCAGATAATAAGATATTATTTTTAACCCGATACTTCTACCCGTTCCTGAGAAAAAAGGTGTCGACTGACGGATAACAAAGTGGTAGTAGTTTGACGGATGACAAAGTATAAAGGTTCCATATTGTCTTATTGAGGTACGACCCTAAAAATGGGAGAAGATTCTAATAAATCGAAATAAAAAACATAGATAATAATTAAGGAAAGGGGTAGAGATGGACGGTTAATAACTCTACTACTCGTTTCTTCTTGCTGCTCGCCATGGGCCTCCGGCGCTAAAGTATTTGCTTTAGTCGTCACTATTTGCAGGCTTAACTATCGTAATACCAGAAGTCTCTTTGCTGACCGTTGTTAGCTGAGTGTTTTGCTTCTCGTGTCAACGATTGACAACTGGTTACATCTATTAGACCCTTTTTACTAGAAACGAGGCATTACATCTTAGTTCTCAGGGGTGAAGCATCTGCATTTTGATTTTTTATAGAAGATAAATGTAGATGTCTATGGTCCATAGCATCCACTTACCATCAGGTGGACAGTGTACTCGTTTGTCACCCTTATTCTATAAAAAATAGATTTTAAATGGTAGAGCATTGCTGCAGCTATTTTATGGTTGTAGCACGAATGGGTCTGCTCGACCGGGGAAGAACCACGCTCTCACAGAATACCAGCGTGAAATAGCAGCTAACGCTGCTGTGTTTCTTATGTTTAGTGTAGAGAACCGAAACCCTTTTTACTGAAAATGAGGCATTACATCTTAGGTCTCAAGAGTGACGCCTCAGCATTTTGATTTTTAATAATAGATAAATGTAGATGTCTATGGGCCACAGCAGACACTTACCATCAGGTGGCCAGTGTGTTCGGTTGTCACTCTCATTCTATAATAAAATAAAATAAGATGTTTGTGGCATTTCCCATGGTCGCCGTCATAGAACACTCGCAAGACAAAATGGTGTTATGGATTCTTTTACGATGTCGCCACATGGCATATACTTCCTTCTCTACTAATAATAATGTCGTCCTCATCTTCTAACCAAATCTAACTACTAACGAGTAACGAGCCTGTGTTCAAAAATCACTAGCACGGTGTGTTAATATCGATACTTACACTGAAAAGTTTTTTACCATATGAATGCGCGGCAGCACGTCACAACGGTTCCGACGTTACTCTGCGTTTACTACGCGCGACGGCGCGACTGGATTTATGGACGTGCACAAAGTTATATACAAGCTGCGACCACGGAGCAAATACAAAGAGGAGATGGCCTAAACAACTGTGCACTGTGATTCTTCAACTAGGTCCTGATGTCATTACAGTGGGCGTGGCTTTAGTTAGTATGCTGTCAGCGTTCGTACTGTGCGCGTATATGTCTAAAATCGCAAATCGGTGTATTTTCGTAGTATTAAGAAGAAAAGGATGAAGTGTTGTGTTTTATAGTGTAAAAACTACTCAGCTAGACGCTCTGGTGAATGGCATCATATTTCATTTGTAAGTAATTTTATACATAATTTATTAAAATAGTTCTAGAAAAATCTCTGCGTCGGCTTTCAAATACAATTAAATATATGTGACACTAGATAGCGCCACTTTGTGTCATGGGAATAAAAAATATAAAGGTACGTAGAGCTCAGTATTGGTAAAATAATCATACGAAGGTGCTAAAGAAGTTTTAATTGCCAAAATATTATTTTTATAGTTTTATAACTATTTTCTGAACAGGCCGCCATCTGTCGTCAAGGAAGCTAAACTATATTGCAACATCGATATGGAACGATGCGAGTAGTTTTACTATTTATCGGTAGATGGAAAACAGTAAAGTGGGCGGGGCTTAACACTCCCTCACCCCGCAAATTGTCACGTGTTGTTACATAGTGAAATCTAATTACTACACCTCTTTGTATTTGCTCCATGGCTGCGACTGTACAGAGATCGCAGCTCGTTTTAGTTTTTTTTTTATAGAAGTAGTACAAGCACAATCACAGTGGTTTGTTGATGCTATGATACATAATCAGTATATAGTGTATTATCTATGCATAATCACCTACATCAATCCTTGATTGTACTGCTGCAAGGAATGCCACAAAACACGGTCCCGAGCCACCTGCATACACAGTAACATTAAGCTGCTTTTTTACGCTGGTA